AGATTATTAGATAAGGAGCTACAGACAACAAAGCATTTGAAGGAATGTGAGATGGTGATGAATGGGGCCATGTATACTTTAAGTGAGACATTTTCCTTTCCATAGTAATACCCTACATCTACTTGACACTTCATAGCTCCAAGTTCTTTCACATAAATTATGGTGGAAGACCATGTTCACTGCTCATCAATAGCCATTTATCTTGTTTAGGTGGCAATGGACTCAGTCCAAGGGGTGAATCATAACTGGTCCAAGCCAGTGGTTCTCAACACTGCTGCAGAGTGGAATCACCTGGGAGAGCTTTTAAACCATTCCAATGCCTGAGCCCCACCCCTGACCAATTAAATCACTCTCTGAGGGTGGAGTTCAGGCATTGACATAACAACAACAACAAAAAAAAAAACCCTCAGGTGAGGAGGTCTAACCCAATCATGGTTATCCCATTCCCTTTTGCCAACTATTAGGCTAGGGCAGGGCACCTGACACAGTTCTAGCCAATAAGACATAGAGTTTGCAAGGGCAGAGAATTCTGGGAAAGGTTTTATAATCAGATTAAAGGAAAAGGAGCCACATGAGGGAAAAGCTCCCCACCCCTCCCCCCACCCCAGCACCCACTAACCAGCTTCCTTCCTTTCTGCATTTTAACAACCCTATGTAGTTATGTGAGGATGTGATGCTTAGAGCTGGGGCTACTACAATCTTGTGAAAACGGGAAGATGAGCTTGAGAAGGAAAGCCAAAAAATAGAAAGGGCCTGGGTCCTTGGTGACGTGGTTCAGTCACCACCCAGTCCTGAAAGAAGTACGCTGACTCCCTCCCTGCCAAGTTCCGGCTATCAGGTATGAACCATACAGATGTTACTTAGAATAATTCACATGGAGCCTCTCTTCACTACTGAGCTGAAGACATACACAGATGCCTCATGGAAAGGACAGCTGTAGAGTCACCCACTTTTCTGTGTAGGTGCTGTCAGCAGCTCAGGAATATGTTGTTGATTAGTTCAATAGCTGAAACATACTAATAATAAAGCTAAGTGTGTTTCCCACCCCAGAGTAGCCTCTAAGCCTAGCCAGGGTGCCAGGGATGCTGCCAGGGGACACCAAGGAGGACCAGGTAAGGGTATATTATAATGGAGAGATTATGAGCTGTGGTGTCTAACACTGAACCCTGCTCCACCCTCACCAGCCCAGATGTGACTTTGGGCAAGTTACTTCTCTTTGTCTTGGATGCCTAACTCAATGCATGGCACATAGCCCTTCAATAAGTATCTATCCCCTTTCCCTCCCCTTTCCCTAGAGTAGAGTGTGGCCGACTTTTGGAAAACCCATCAATAATGTTGTCTTTCTAGGAACCATGTATACACAGCATGCCTTCTCCAATTGGATTTTTTTCACTTTTTAAAATATTTTATTTATTTATTTTTGTTGTTGAGGATATACACAGCAAAACATACACCCATTCAACAGTATCCACGTGTACAATTCAGTGACATTGATTACATTCTTCAAGTTATGCAAACATTTTCACTGTCCTTTTCTGAGTTATTCCTCCCCCGTTAACATGAACTCACTGCCCCCTAAGGTTCCTATCTAATCTTTCGAGTTGCTGTTGTCAATTTGATCCCATATAGATAGACCTTAAATGAGCATAATGCTCAAGCAGACATCTTTTACTGTTGATGTTGTTAGGTGCCGTCGACTCAGTTCCGACTCATAGCGACCCTATGTACAGCAGAACAAAACACTGCCTGGTCCTGTGCCAGCCTCACAATCATTGCTATGTTTGAGCCCATCGTTGCAGCCACTCTGTCAATCCATCTCGTTGAAGGTCTTCCTCTTTTTTCACTGACCCTCTACTTTACCAAGCGTAATGTCCTTCTCTAGGGACTTGTCCCTCCTGATAACATGTCCAAAGTACGTGAGATGAAGTCTTGCCATCCTTGCTTCTAAGGAGCATTCTGGCTTCTTCCAAGACAGATTTGTTCGTTCTTCTGGCAGTTCATGGTATATTCAATATTCTTCACCTACACCATAATTAAAAGGCATCAATTCTTCAGTCTTCCTTATTAATTGTCTAGCTTTCACAAGTATATGAGGCAATTGAAAATACCATGGCTTGGGTCAGGCATACCTTAGTCCTCAAAGTGACATCTTTGCTTTTTAACACTTTAAAGAGGTCTTTTGCAGCAATTATTGTTTGGTTTTAGAAATTCTGTTCTGCATTTTCCCTCTTTTGATTAGGATTCTTCTATAGAATCTTTGATCAAAATGTTCAGTAATGGTAACCAGGTACCATCCAGTTCTTCTGGGCTCATGGCAAAGGAGACAGTTGTTCATGGAGGCAATTAGTCACACACTCCAGTTCCTCCTCCTATTCCTAACTCTCCTTCCTCTGTTACTCCAGGCAAATAGAGACCAATTGTGCCTTGGATGGTCACTTGCAAGCTTTTAACACCCCAGGAACTACTCAACAAACTAGGAGGTAGAACAGAAGTCCTGAACGCGTTATTTGGCCAATTAACTAGGATGTCCCGTGAAACCATGGCCCTAAACCTCCAAACCAAAGAACCAAATCCCCTGAGGTGTTTGGTTGTACACAGGCAGCCTCAGCAGCTACTCTTTTTTTTAAATTTTTTTCTGGTCATTGTTGTAAATATATCTACCACACAACTTTTGCCAATTCAACTTTTTACAGGTGTACAACTTATTGATAGCAATTACAATAATCAGCTGTGCAATCCTACCCTTAAGCAAAGTGATTCTTCCATCACTGTAAACCAAAACTCAGTACTCCATAAGCAATACCGCCCCTTTCCCCCTCCTTCCTGCCCCTGGTAACCACTAATAAACTTTGGTCTCTATACATTTGCCTGTTCTTATCTTTTTATATAAGTGAGGTCATACAATATTTGTACTTTTGTGATCCCAGTTGGATTTTAATAAATTCACTGATAGGTCATGGCACCGTAAGTGCCTAATAATTCCAGAGGAAATGTGGAAAGAAGGGCTCAGTCACCAAAGTGTGGAAGAGCCTAAAGCTTGCCCCCAGATGTCCCTGCAGCCCCCTAACAGACGCCCCAATGGCCTCCCAAACAGCAGCAGCAGTGTCTTCCCCTGCAGTCAATGTCACCCACACAGACTCTAACTTCGTAGAGGACAAAGACTTTTGTCTTCTAAGCCTCCTCTCTATTCTCATTACCTCATCCCCAGCCAGTACCTCACAGGGTACAGGCACTCAATGTAAGCTAAGTTTGTTTTTTTTTTTAAGTAAAAGATTTGAGGAGATTGTCACTTCTTAAAGTCATAAAATGCTGCAGCGTTTGCCCTGGAGAGGAGTTCCCTCAGGCCTGTGAAAGAGGGTTAGGGACCATTATGTTACATTTGTACATACAGGATTAGCAGATGAAAGGATCTTTTTGTTAAGATGTGACAAGTCACCCAGTGCCTGCCTTACCATCATTCACTCCAGAAATCAGGAAAGAACCCAGAGTTCCTAGCAATTACAGAAACTGACCAAGATCACCACTTGATTACTTGGAGAAAAAACAGTGTTAGTCAGCTTCAGAAATCACCCTGAAACCCTGGCTGTATTAACAACAAAATCCCTCCTCATTAACATCTTCAACCTTTGTCCTCAGAGCTTCACCCCAGGGGAATGCTGAATTACGCTATAAAATAATGAATGGAAACTGAAGTCACTTCCACCCACTCAGACCTGCTTTTCCTTCTCCTCTGGACTGCACAGTGCAGAAGGCTGTCCTCTTCCAGCTCACACCAAGTTTGGAGAAATGCATTCCCATGCCACTAACTAGACTCGTAAGGTCAGCATCCTGCAGGACAAACTCTTCCCTTAGCCCAATGCACAGTCCATACACTGGTCCAGACACTGAACACCTTTTGAGATTATTTAACCTCCATTTTAGCTTCTTAAGACAGAGGCTTTACAAACAGTAAAAGAAAAACTAAGGGAGGGTGGCTTGTTTCACAAAGCTCTTTCTGCAGTCACAGGCAAAGCCGCTACTACCAATCTAAGGTTCCAGCTCACAAACGGATGGGGTGGGGTGGGGGAAATCCAGATCTGAGATCTTGCTGGCATTAGAGGAAGCTGACCAGGCAGCTTTTGTGACCTGATGTGAAGGAGACAGGGTCAAATATCCTGCAAAGACACTGACCATTAGGAGGGGAGAGAGACAGAAGGGAGAGGAAGGAGGAAGGAAGGGGGAGGGAGGGAGATGGAAACAGAGAGGCCAAATGAGCCAGGGGAAAGCAAAGTCGATTCTACTCCACTCTACCAGTGCCTGAGGCATATAAATACGCAAAAACTGTTCCAAGAACGGCATGACTGCCTGCATGCTTGCTAATATAGAGGAAAGCCCAGGTGACTGTGCATGAGACAGAGACAGACACAGAGAAGGAATATGAAAGAGAGAGAGGAGGAGGAGGTAGGGTTACAGTCATCACTTTCCATCAAACCCTCATTTTGGCTTTCCTGTGCCTGCAAACACTACTGCAAAAAAGTCCCCACAGGACAGACTGGCATCAAAATAAATTCATAATCATCAACCTCACAGTCCCTGATCTTATACTTTTCATGATAATTCCCAGTCTCAAGTTCCCATTATGACTATGTCAAACTTACTCTGCTCTCAGACCTCTGACACTTTTGTTTTGCTCCCTGCCATTCTTAACAGATGACCTTACTTCCTACTTCATGGAGCAGGAAGAGCACTGGACTGGGAGTGTGGAGACCTGGGTTCCACCTTGGCCACACTTAGACAACCTCTCTCGTCTCAGGGTCCTCCTCTGAGGAGGCAGGCGGCTAAGCTGGAGATCCCAATGAATTTCCTAAACTCTGTGAGCAGATGGGCTTCCCTGCCCACTCTGACAGGTTGAGATGTGGAACACGAGCCCCTCCCTTCCCTCAACCCACTCCTCCCCGCACAGTCCCTTCCAGGCTCCCCGAAGACCCTTCTCCACCCAATCCTGCCAAGGACCACCTTACCCGTGTCCGCCCCGGGGGGTGAGAGTGCGGAGCTACGTGGCGCCCTCGGCCTCCATCTCTAGCGATACCTCCAAGTCCTTTGGCGGCTCCACGTCGCCCTCCTCTCCGCTGCGAGGGTAGGCCAGCAGACGCATGGCTGGGGCGCAGGCGGCCTCCACCTGGCGCACCTGCTCTCGGCTAAGGCGCTCCCTCCAGGCGTGCACTGCCTCGCGGGCGTCACGCGCCGACAGGTGAAAGGGCCGGTCGGCGCCGTAGGCCGCGCCGCGCGTCATATTCAGCGCGAAGGCATCGAGTGCGGCGAGCGCGCGCAGCCCAGCGAAGTGCAGCAGGCGGCGCAGCTGGGTGCGCGGCTGTCGCACCAGGTCCTCATAGCGCAGCCTCAAGTAGCGGCGCCGCAGCCAGGAGGGCGCACCGCGCGCGAAAAGCAGGTCGCGCAGCCATGCTTCACAGATCACCTCGAGTGCGCCCGTCAGGAAGAAATCGGCGCGTGGCGCGGCGGGCTGCGCGCGGGACGAGCCCCCAGGGCGAGCGCCCACGCCGTGCGCCAGCAGCACGCGGTGGAAACGGTCGCCCCTCTGGCGAGTGCGCAGCACCTGGATGCTCTCGCGCAGCAGCCCCTGCCTAGACTTGAGGCGCGAATTGTGCACAGCCCGCGGGTCGCGGAAAAGCTGCACCACCTTGAGGTTGAGTCCTGGGTCACGCAGCAGTGGCACCAACACACCCAGGTCCAGGAGGCGCACGTCCTTGATGACCACTACCGGGTACTTGCGGCACTCGGCCTCCAGGGCGCGCAGTGCCACGGGAGGGCAGCTGCGCTCGCAGGCGGTGTCCTCAACGAGGCCGACCTCGGCGCGGGCTCGGGGTGCGCCAGGGCACAAAGGCGGCGAGCAGATGACCTTGTTGGTCCGCCAGCGAAAGAGGGCGGCCGTGGTGAGGTTGGCCGCACCCGGGGCGCGCGCGGCGAAGTCCCCCGGCGGTGCGTATAGCCTCAACACGGAGAAGTCACAGCGGAAGAGCGAGCGCAGCATGTCGCGCAGCGCGCCCTGCAGGCTCTCGGCATCGCCCGGATATAGCGCCTGCCATAGGTGCCACATGGGCTCGTACAAGTAGAAAACGTCCGGATGCTGGTTAAAGAGTTCGCCCAGGAAAGAGGAGCCGGTGCGCCAGGTGGCATGCACGTAGATGTGCTGCTTCTGGCGAGACACCACCTCCCCGACGGCGCCGCTGAGGTTGCCCCGGGACCGGGGGACCTCGCCCGCGCCCCCTTCGGCAGCGGGCCGCGCCTCTGCGCCCTGCTCGCGTTCGCCAGCCGCCGCCGCCTCCAGGCTCCACACTCCCAGGCTGCCCTGCAGGCCAGTGCAGTGCCCGGCGCCCTTGTCGCCGTCGCGGCCGCCGTCCAGCACGGAGGGGACGAGCAGCAGCACCAGCGTGTAGAGCACCAGCAGCAGCGCGAACTTGCAATACTCTCGGCGTCGCCGCCTCCGGCTCTTCATCGTTCACGGAGCCCCCCAGAGCGGGTCGGGTGCCCGTCCTCTCCCCTGCCTCAGAAATCCCGTCCCGTGGCCGCTCCTCTGGCCTCTTCGGGCCCCTCTGCGCCCGGAGGAGCAGAACCGCCGGGACGTGCATCCACCAGGGAAACTTGGGAGGCGGCAGGCTAGTAGCGGCGACTCTGCTCTCTGTCTGCTCGGCCGGCTTAGAGGGCCGCCTATTGGCCGGCTTGGCAGCCGCCCCGCCCTTAACCCTGCAGCTTCTCCCCGCCTGTATCCGCCCGAGTTCGCTGCCCGGCTCTGCCAGATCCGGGCGGGGCCGCCGCGGGGTGGGGATGCCGGCTGGGGCTCACTGAGCCAGACCCAACCTTTCCCCAACCCCTCCGAAATCAAGTCTTCGTGAATTGACTTTAGGCAAGGGAGGGGCTCGTGTGTACAGAATGTACCCAATGACGGGACGCGGACCCCACCCAGAGAACTCCACTACCTCATTTGTTTTACGTCTGCTCCTGGGCCATCTCAGTGCTAGACAAATAACCACTCGCCTCCACGCTGTTTAGGTCAGGGCCTCCCGTCCACTATCTCCATCCAGCGTCTCCGTCAGCCCCAGACTGGGTGTTACTGAGTTCTGGATGGAAAACAATGGGACTAAGATAAAGATATACGACTGCACATTGCCATGGTGGTCCAGGGGAGGTGGAGGTACTACTGCACTCACGCAGTGCGTTTAATTGTTAAGGTCTAGCCTTCGTGAAATTGTGATTGTTGTGTTTCGTAGGGTTTTGCCAGCTGAGGGCCCTGAACATTTTAAAGACATCCTGAGGATCATTTTTACATATTTATAAAATGAGAATAATTTTTAGTGCCTACCTACCTTCTGGCGTTTTGAGATGGGGGGAAGGGGGAATCTTTGTTACCACAGCATAACCTAGCCTATTCTGACTTGCAAGACCAGAAGACATTTACAGAATCAAAGTGACAGGATGGTGAACTTTCTCAGGAGCACAGTTTTTAAAAGGACCCATAAGACGGACACATACCCAAGGATAAATGAAATATGTATATATATATATATATATATATATATATATATATATAAAACTCATACGAGGAGTGACAGAAAGTCCAAGAGGCAAATTAAGCTTTGTTGTTAGTTGCCACTGAGTCAGCTCTGGCTCATGACGACCTTATGTATAACAGAATGAAATGTAGAATTACTGAAATCCGAAAGAGAAACAAGAAGGATAATTTTTGCTCTATTTCAGCAGGATGATAAAGAAAGGAGAGCTTCCTCTCACCCCCTTGGGGAAGGTTTTGTAAGGTTAACAAAAGATTGAAGGCAAATCTACTCATCTCCACTAGGGAAAAGGCTGTTCAAATTGAGAAAGTAAGAACATATCTAAAAATCTTCTCCTCTGATCTTTTTTGTCATGGAAACTACTCCACCTCTGATATCACTGGCTCAAGCATCCTGCTTTCTGTCCACAATCCTTCTCTTTTTCAACTACTTGTTTGAATCCTCCCTATTCTCCAACTTCATTGACCACTATCCCCACTTTCTTCTCAATTTTTCCTACGGGGCTAAGAGACCATGGGCCATTATTTTATAAAACTCCTACCAATAACGTAAACTCCCTTGGACTCTATCTTTTCATTACTCATCTAGCAAAATCCCTAAGACGTAGCTTTTGGCTTTCTCTGTGCTTGCAAGCACTATTGCAAAAAGCTTCCCCACAGGACAGATTGCCATCAAGATAAATTCACAATCATCAACCTCAAATGGTCCATGAAATCTTACATTTTTTATGTCAATTCCCAGTCTCAAGTTCCATTATGACTATTTCAAACTTTCTCTACTCTCCTAAGACCTCTGACATCCCCTCTTTGCCATTGTTAACAGATGACCTTACCTCTTACTTCATAGAGAAAATAAAACCATCTTAGCCAATTTCTCAATTTCCCACTACCAGACCCACAGATCCACTTACCTCTGTAACCACCTTCTCCTTTCTGGAAAGGGTATTATTTTCTGATATTAATCTATAACTTTCATCTTACCTATGTTTTCACTTTTCCCTCTTCCATTTTAAGCAGGTAGGTGTCTCTGTGCTCACTGCTTCAGTGAAGGGATGTGGCTGGGGCAGAATGCAAAAGGTCCCCTTGGTGATTCTTTCCAAATGCCAGTAGTGGAGAGTGTGGTAAGTTTTAAAAATAACCTATCAGTTAACCACAGTGGTACAGTGGTTAAGCACTCGGCTGCTAACCAGAAGGTTGATGCTTTGAACCCCTAGCTGCTCCGTGGGAGAAAGATTTGGCAGTCTGCTTCCATAAAGATTACAGCCTTGGAAACCCTATGAGACAGTTCTAATCTGTCTTACAGGGTGACTATGAGTCAGAATCAACTTGAGGCAACGGGATTGTTTTTTTTTAATATCCATGCCCGTTTGCAAAGCCTTCCCACGTGGACTCTGAGATGGCCTTGTCACTGGCATTGGTCAATGGGACAGTAGCAAACATGACACAAGCAGAGGCTTGAAAAATGTTTCTGCTCTCAAGGATTGCTCTCTTGCTGCTCTTTGAGACCCTGAGATCTCCATATGAAGAAGCCTGGGTTAGCCTTTTGGAGGATGAAAGACCTCACGGATTAGAGAAGAAGCCAGCCCAGCTGAGCCCCAACACTACCCCATCCCCAGACCAAACAGCCTTCCAACCACCAGACAACTGAGAAAATATATCCTAGACCAGTGCTTCTCAAACTTTAATGTATATACAAATAACCTGGAATCTTGTTAAAATGCAGAAACAGATTCATTAGCCCTGTGGTGGGACCAGAGATTCTAAATTTCTGATAAGCCCCCAGGTGCTGCTAATGCTGCTGGTCTGAGGACCACACTTTATTAATTAAATAATTTACATATAGTAAAAATAACTCTTTTTGTGTATAGTTCTATGAGCTTTGATGAATGCAGAGTTGTGTAACCACCACAATAATCAAGATACATAGCAAACCTCTTACCTACCCTCAAATTCCTTTGTACTTCCTCTTTGTAGTTAACTTGTCCACCCGCCTCCAAAACTGGCAACCATTAAGCTACACTCCGTCACTATGTTTTCTTCTTTCCCCTAATATCGTAAAATGGAATCATGTGGTCTTTTGAGTCTGGCTTCTTTCTCTAGCATAAATTTTAACCTTTTATTGCTGCACTTCTTTTTACTGCTGATTAGTATTTTACTGTACGGATGTACCAGAAGTTTTTCATCCATTCATCAACTGAACAACATTTGGGTTGCCTTCAGTTTTGGCCCATTATGAATAAAGTAACTCAATCATTCACAAAAGTTTTTGTGTGAACACAAGTTTTTTAAATTTATCTTGGGTAAATACTCAGGAACGGGACTGTTGGATCATATGGTAAGTCTATTTTTAAATTTATAACACACTGGCAAACTGTTTTACAGAATGGCTATGTCATTTTCCATTCTCACCATCAATGTATAAGAGTTCTAGTTGTTCTGCATCCTCATCGGTACTTGTTATTGTCAATTTTTCAAATTGTATTTTAGATGCAGGTTTACAGAGCAAATTAGTTTCTCATTAAACAATTAATACACATATTGTTTTATGACATTGGTTGCCACCCCCACGACAAGTCAACACTCGCCCCTTCTCGACCTTGGGTTCCCTATTATCAGCTTTCCTGTCCCCTCCTGTTTCTCGTCCTTGCCCTGGGCTGGTGTGCCCATTTAGTCTCGTTTTGTTTTATGGGCCTAATCTTTGGCTGAAGGGTGAACCTCAGGAGTGACTTTAGTACTGAGTTAAAAGGGAGTCCAGGGGCCATACTCCCGGGGTTTCTCCAGTCTCTGTCAGACCATAAGCCTGGTCTTTTTGTGTGTGTGTGTGTGTGAGTTAGAATTTTGTTCTGCATTTTTCTCCAGCTCTGTCTGGGACCCTCTATTGTGATCCCTGTCAGAGCAGTCAGTGGTGGTAGCTGGGCACCCTCTAGATGTGCTGGACTCAGTCTGGTGGAGGCTGTGGTAGTTGTGGTCCATTAGTCCTTTGGACTAGTCTTTCCTTTGTGTCTTTGGATTTCTTTATTCTCTCTTGCTCCAGACGGGGTGAGATCAGTGGAGTATCTTGGATGGACACTCGCAAGCTTTGAAGACCCCAGATGTTACTCACCAAAGTAGGATGTAGAACATTTTCTTTATAAACTATGTTATGTCAATTGAGATAAATGTCCCCTGAGACCATGGTCCCCAGCCCTCAGCCCAGTAATATGGTCCCTCAGGGAGTTTGGATGTGTCTGTGGAGCTTCCATGACCTTGCCTTGGCCAAGTTGTGCTGGCTTCCCCAGTATTGTGTACTGTCTTACTCTTCACCAGAGTTGCCACTTATCTGTTGTCTATTTACTGTTTTTCCCTCCCCCCTCCCCTCCTTCATAACCATCAAAGATTGTTTCTTTTTGTGTGTAAACCTATTCATGAGTTTTTATAATAGTGGTCTTATACAATATTTGTCCTTTTGTGATTGACTTATTTCACTCAGCATAATGCCCTCCAGATTCATCCATGTTGTG